GACTGCGGCTCGACCCGGCACAGAATTACATCTCTCAAGAACCTGAGACCCCCCGCCGGCCAACACACCCCAGACCATAAGCTGCCGAGGGTGCCCTCGCCCAGGATGCACAAGAACATCCAACAAGCACGAAGAACATTGGGGCACCCTCCCCGAACCGGCCTCGATATCATACCTCGGTCCGACCGTCGGGATCCTTTGATCTGGCGCGTGGGCGCCAGACTCACGGATCGGGGCGCGTAACCCCCGAAACATGGCGCCAATGCGGCCTGAATTGGCGACGGAGCGCGGCGCCTTGATACGGAAACGGAGCCCGCCGCCAATCCATGCGCCCTGACATGTGTTCGCGCTTCCTCGACTCACGCCTTTTCGGGTGCCCTGGCCCCTGGTCCTCACAGCCCCTCGTCTTCTTGTTCTTCTTCTTCTTCTTCTTCTTCTCCTCGCTTGATCGGACCCCCCAAGGGTGCAGCGGCTCATGCAGAGGAGGCGGAGGAGGAGAAAAGGAGGAGGAGGAGGAGGAGGAGGAGGAGGAGGAGGAGGAGGAGAAGGAGAAGGATGTTGGACGCCTCCAGAGGGAGGGCCCAAGGGGAGAGGAGGAGAAAAATGGTGTGGGGTGCCCATCGAAGGAGACCCTTAACGCTGCCAGGGCCCTGCCGACAGGGCGGCCCAGCCCCCCAAAACTCGCTGGCCGAACTGAGAAGGAGAAGGAGAAGAAAGAAGAGGCGGAGGAGGAGGAGTAGAGGAAGAGGCAGAGGCAGAGGCAGATGAGGAGGCAGATGAGGAGGAGGAGGAGGAGGAGGAGGAGGAGGAGGAGGAGGAGGAAGAGGCAGAGGAGGAGCCAGCCCCTCGTTGCAAGCCCCCGACCGCCACGGCCAGACGCCGCCGGCGCCTTCGCGCTCGGGCCCCGCGCGGCGGCCGCAGAGGGCATGCCCTGGACCTGCGGGAGGCCGCCAACGGGCGTGCGGCAGGTCCGTGCCGCGACGGCCTGGGCGTCGGCTTCCGACTGGCCACCGAACTTCGCTAAGACGAAGCCAGGACGAGGATAGATTCGGGCGAGGATGAATCGAGAATCTCTGAGCTCCTGCGGCTCGGGAGCGTTCTGGAACGCTCTGGAACGGATTTATCCTCGTCCTAGCCGCCCTGTCTGGCTACAGCTCATGACTTCGCGCATCGCGCCCCGCGATGCGCGGTTATCTTCGCGCCCTCGCGCCGCCGCCCTGGAGAAGGGCGCTTGTCCAGCATCTTCCAACCCAAGCCGCGATGCGCGAAGCGCGATCGCCGCCGCGCCCTGGGGGGGGGCACCTGGGCTTCTGACACCACGTGGATCGCTCAGCCGTGGACGATCGGCGGCCGTTTGCTCGCCGGATCTTTCCATCTTGGCCGATTCTGGACCGCCGGCGGGGTCCAGCCCGGAGCGCCCGCGCTGGCGTCGCCGCCGCGAAAGCACGGCACGGGCGAGCCTGCCACACACAGGTGGGCGGGAGAGCCGCCATCACGACAGGCGCGCGCCCAGAAGCGTAGCCCTCGAGCACGGGTCGCCCGATTTCGCGCGCTGCTCCCCGCGGTGCGCGGCGCACGACGCGCTTCGCGCCCTCGCGCCGCCGCCCTCGAAGAAGGCAGCTCTGCCTGTCCGCGGCCCGGGCCGCGGCGCGCGAAGCGCGGTTGCCTTCGCGCCCTCTCTCGGGCGACCTGCGGAGGAGAACCACCCTCATAGTCAGCCCCGCTTCGAGCGAAACCCTTTCGCAAACGCACCTGGAGAAGGCATCGAACAGGGCAAGGCTGTAGACTTCAGCGCCCAGGACTGCGCGCCGCGAGCGCCAGTAATGGGCAGCGAGTGCTTTTGTTCCTCCCCTGGATACACCTGCGACGAGTTCGCGTCGTGACGACCTGCGCGGTGGTCTCCGACACCGCGTGCATCCCTCAGCCTGGAACGACTGCGGCTCTTCGATAGCACGGATCGTTCGACGTCGGCCAATTCCAGGCCACTAGCGGCGCTCAACCTTGACTGCCGGCGCTGGGGTCGCCGCAGCGTCGACATGACACGAACCTGCTGCACAGCGATCCTGGCAGGGGCGCGCCCCTGGCGACAACGGGAATCCTCTGGCTCTTCCCCACGGCCAGGGGCCCCTCGGCCTTGGGAACTTGTGGGAGCCTCCGCTGGTGCTCCACTTGCTTGCTGGGCGCCGGTGCAGCTCCCGTACTTCCTGCGGCCTGGGCCTCCTGGACCTACACCGATCCTGGGCCAAGCGTGGGCCTGGCCGAGATCGGTGTAGGCATAATCCGTCAGTGTCGAATCGAATCGAATCGGCATGTGCGTCGGATGGATGGTATCGGCACGGAGTCGAAATCAAATCACATCGGATCGGCCCTGCCAGAATGCACAGCAGCGCCATGCAAGCATCGGGCGGCGTCGGATCGCCGGGCACCAGACTCGAATCGCATCGAGCTGGCCAGGACTGATACGGAGTCGGATCGAAGGTACACTCAAAACTTCAGGTCAGAAATCTTCGGCTAAGAAATCGAGGCCCAGCTTCGCTGAATGTCTTAACCTCTTGCAAGATCCAGCTTTGGAGACTGGCTTTCTTGAGGCAGCGCGGCGACCGTCTCGCTGGTTGCGATACACACTTTCGCTGGTTGCGATCAAAATCTGGCGGAAGATCCGGGCAAGGATCCAAAGGTTTAGAAACTGGGTCAGCTTTTTGGAATTCGGAGTCGAAGTTTAATCAACTTTGAGACCCAGCTTGGCTGGGGGGTGCTTCTTAACAGACGATGGCAGTGTATAGCTGGCGCCACCCGACCTGGAGGAGGTCGCTCAGGCCTTCCTGCGGTGCGGGCCCCGAGAAGCCGCGGGAAGCGACGCCGCCCTCGTCGTCGTCGTGCTCTTCGTCGTCCTCCGTGTCCGCCCACTGGGGGGCGCTGGAGCCCTCCGCCTCCGGGCCCGCGTCCGTGGAGCTCCGGCTCATGCAGGGGCTGGAGCTGCTGCGGCGCAGGGCCGGGTCGCAAGCGGCGTCCTCCAGGGAGGCGCCAGCGACGCGGCCTGCACCGGTCCCGGCCAGGCCGGCCAGGCTCATCATGGGCCCAGGCTCGGTGTGTGTATATATATATATGTATATGTATATATATATATACATATATATATATATATATATATATATATATATTTGTACGCGCCCCTGGCTTGGCCAGAACAGCATGTACACCGATCCTGGGCCCAGGATCGGCCCAGTCAGGATCGCTCTAAGTGTATGGTTGGTTACAGTTGACACCCTCCGATCCTCGGCCAGGCTGGCGAACTCGAGAAAAGTGTTCTTGACTGTCACAATCGTCGTGTCGGTGTTCACAGTGTCGGACATGACACTGTGAGACATGACCATGGCTGGCGGGTGCCCGCAGAAAAGGCGAGAGTAATGCAGCGTCGATGCTGCTAGAAACGTGTTCGGTCAGCAGGAGGACAACGACCACCCCACCAAAACCAAAAATGGCTGCGGATGAAGAGTTCGCCGGCCCACTGGGCCGAAGACGTGTTAAAAGGTTCCCACTCTTTGCTCCTGCACTTCTGCAATTCGCGCGCGCGTGGCGGCCCATTGCGGGTCCCGAGGGAGCAAGTCGCTGGCAAGCCACCGCCGCGGGATGCCAGAACTCCTGGGCGCGGCCCGAGAAGCCGCCGAGCGCCGAGCGGCCGCCACAATTACCCAAGCGGCCTCCAGGACGCGCTCCACACGGCCACTGGGGCTTCCCAGACTGCAAGATAACCTCCGACATGCTCCATGCAGGCTCCAAGACCGCCAGAAGACGGCTACAAATGACCGCGCCCCCGAGAGGCCCAAATCGTTCAGAACAGAAGCTGCCGCACAGCTAATTTCGCGTCATCGCCTTTTCGGCTCTCTAGGTCACCTACCTCCACGCTTCGCGTCCCGCGATGCGCGACGCGCGGTTATCTTCGCGCCAAGGCGATGCCGCCTTGGAGAACGGCGCCTCTCCAACCCAAACCGCGGTGCGCGAAGCGCGATTATCTTCGCGCCTCTCGGGGTGACCTAGCTTCCGACCGCGAGGTCTCAAGAGGGCTCCAAGATCGCCCAAGATGGCTCCGAGTGGAACTGAGGAGGCCTCCTCCAAGAGGGGCCCGAAGACCTTCGCAGGGAGCCTCCCTCGGGCCCACAAGCATCTCCAAGCACACACAAGAGCCCCCTTCTTGGACTTCCGAACCCTGGTGCGAGAGGGGGGTCGACCTCAACTGCCCATCACCTAGATCGCCTGACATTGCGCGTCGCGCACCGCGATGCGCGCCGCGCGATTATCTTCTCGCCATCACGCCCTCGCGCCACCTCCTTGGAGAAAGGCAGCCGCTCTGGCCTAGACCGCAACGCGCGAAGCGCGGTAATCTTCGACCCCCCGCGGGTGACCCATACAACCAGGCAGGCGACTCTTGGTGGCCCCTTCGAAAAACAGGCGCGTGCGACCCTCAGACGGCCCTCTCCCAGCTTCGACGAGCCCCCAGCGACCCAGCCAGAGCAAGGCCACCAGTGGGGCGGAGGAAGCCGTCGTCGTCGGTCGGCACGACGTGGTCAGACGTCTGAGACACCAAAGGCTTGGCGCCCTCTCGCCAGCCACCGATTTGGAGGGCGAGGGCTTGCCGAGGAGAGCGAGGCCGAGCGAGGCCCGCCGAACCGCGAGGCTGGCCGTGCGCGCGGGAGCCGCCCTCGACAGCGGTGCCCCCTTGGTCTGCGGCTTCACGGGGGCTTCGGGTGGGCCTCACCCTGGCGAGCCGGCCAGTGCAGGGGGGACCCCCTGTCACGCCTGGCGGGGTCGAGCACTGGAGCGCGTCGGTGTCTCGGACAAAGATGCAACTGCACTTCGCCGCCAGCCGCTCGAACCTTGCGCAAACCGCAAACCAACCGATGCATGCAGACAAGTTGGCCCGTGCACCAGTGCGTCAAACAAGCGCGGCCAGCTCGACCCCGAACCCGCGCCGAGCAACGCTGGTAGCGCGCACCTGGAGAGCCACGTCTCGAACGCCTCGCGCATGAAGGAGACGAGGCCAGGACCGGGGCAGAGTCGGCCTGGCACAGATCAGGGACCCTCTGAGAGCCGGCGGTTGGGGAGAACGCAGGGGGCGCCGCGGCTGCTCCGGAGCCAACGCTCCAGAACGCTCTGAGTGCCCTGGGATGGAGCGATCTGTCCCAGCCCCATCTCCCCATCGCTCGGATGCCCATTCCCTGTGCATTTCTCGGCTTCCTGCGAGTGTTTTTTCGCAGGATGGTCAAGGGTGCTCCTCTATGGTCCTCGACGAGAAAAAATGCACACGTCCGAGCGACGCCAAGCTATAACCCCGCCCGGTAAAAGGTCACTCCCGCGAAGGGTCACCTGTAGCACGCGTTCCATAACCGATGGAGGCGGAGGCCCTCGGAGAGTCTGCGGGAGACTGGGCCGGAGGACGGCATTGACACACGAACCTGATCTCTGACCCCCATCGGATTCTCAACCTAGCTACCCTAGGGCTCCCAACTTCGCGCTTCGCGCTGCGCGAAGCGCGAATAACTTCGCGCTCTCGCGCCGCCCTCCCAAAGGGAGAATAGGAGGACGAGGAGGAGGGGGAGAAGGAACGAGGACCGCGAAGCGCGAAGCGCGAATAACTTCGCGCCCTCGAGGGAGCCCTTGGCCTGAGGCTACCCCAATGCGCAACACGCAGCTCGTAGCGTGCTGACACGGAGCTCAACACGTAGACTGATCGAGTACGTTTGGCGCGATGCGTTCGCCAGAACGTGGGCCAAGATGTTGAGCCAACACGCAACGTATTGGCATGGACGTTTTGAACACGGCAAGTACTGCGTTTCGAAACAGGCGTATCGGGGCAGCTAAGGTTCTCAACTGTGGCCCTGGTCTCCTTCGCCTGGACCCCCTTCAGCTTCTTGCTGAGGCGATTGACCTTGTCCAAGTCCCTCTGCAGCTCGCTAGTGTCCTGGGGCAGCCAGATGATTCCGACACCATCCTCCCTGGACCTCGTCCAGGGCGCGTTGTGACCAGGATCCCGAGCAGATCCTGGCGTGGCGACGAGGAGACCCCAAGGAGACCAAGAAAGGTGGGTACGAGGCAATGGCATCGGCATCGGTGTGCCTGCACACGCCTCCAGATACGCTCGAAAGCAGTCCTGGACCTCCTGGGGCCCATCCTGCCGGGATGGGCCTCGGGAGGCCGCTGACAGTGGCCTTCCTTTCGCCCAGGATCGATTTCCGACGCATCCAGCGACACGTGGACATCATCTTCATCATCATCATCATCATCATCATCATCATCATCATCATCATCATCATCATCATCATCATCATCATCATCATCATCATCATCATCATCATCATCATCATCATCATCGGCATCGGCGTTGAGAACGTCGGCGCTGCCATGGGCCCTGCCGTCGCCATCTTCATCATCGACACCGCCGTCGCTGCTCTCCTCACGCCGCTTCGCCGTGCCCTCGGCCGCAGCTAGCCCGTCACTGGTGGGGCCCGCGCGCCGTCTCTGGACAGGGTTAGAGGGAAGAGAACTATGCACATGCACCGATTCTGGCCAGGCCCATCCTGAGCCCAGGATCGGTGCATACGCCCTCCTACCTTGGCCAGGAAGGCATATGCACCGATCCTGGGTCAAGGATGGGCCTTGCCAGGATCAGTGCATGTGCATAGTTCTCTTCGCCCGAAGGGTGCCGCGCACGTATGCGGAAGCCAGTGCAGCAGCGGAAACACGCTGGTAGCCTCACGAAGGGGCAGCGGCGCCGAGCACTGCGGAGCACCAGGTCGCCTTGGCCTCGCGCCCCATCGGGCCGCCGCCCCCCTGGGGCATGGCAGCTCCCCCGGCCCAGGCCGCAGCGCGCGAAGCGCGCCTCTCTCTGCGCCCCCGCGGGGTGGCTCAGGGGAGAAGCCTCGAGTCGGCGGCGCGCGGGGGGGGGGAAAGCGAGAAGGAGACGGCCCTCTCAGAGAAGGCGGCGGGGCTTCTCGGACGCCCTCCCGCCTCCTGAGAACTTCTCTGCGCCTTCGGCGGGAGCTCAGACGACTTCTCAGAAGGCCCGGGGACCTCCGAGCCTTCTGAGGAGGGGCCCGCCCCTTCTCGCTTCCCCCCTTCGCTCGCCGCCGATCGAAGGCTCTGCTCGTCTCTGCCGCTCGCCAGATGGGGGCCGCAGCTGCGCCTCACACGCACACCGATCGCAACTCCTGGTCGGTGGTCCCTCGGCTCACCCCGCGCCCCTGGCCGGGCCCCCCACGGCCACGGCCCCGACCCCTGGCGCTGGTGCGCTTTCCCCCCTGCCTGGGGGGGGGGGACACATCGACGTGGCATCGGCGAGACGTCGCCGATGGATCGGCGACAAGCCCCCGATAGCGAAGCCGCGCTTTCCTTGGCTGGGCGTGCCATCGGGCCCCTACCGGCGATCCGTGGGCGATCCGGGGCCGCCGCGCCCCCCCCCCCCGGAGCACGTCCCCCGCTGCCGTTGCCCCCCTGGCGTTCGGGTCATAACTGGGCTCGCCGGCGGCCGCTCGGGGTCCATCTGGTCGCCCTCCGACGCCCCCTCGACGGGGCGCAGCCGCTGAAACGCACCCCGAGGCTGGAAAACCGCCGAGAGCCGACGGAAACGCCCGAGAGCCTCGTAGGTTACGAGCCTCGAACCTCGCGAACCTCACGAATCGCCGCCGTCATCGTCGTCGTCGTCGTCGTCGTCGTCGTCGTCGTCGTCGTCGTCGTCGTCGCGGCTGCCGTCCATCGCCATCTTGCTCTCCGTCTCCGTGCGGGTGGCCTGCAAGCGCGCGCGCGCGCGGCTCGCAGGAGGAAAAGGAGGAGGAGGAGGAGGAGGAGGAGGAGGAGGAGGAGAATGAGGAGGAGGAGGACAAGGAGGAGGAGGAGGAGGAGGAGGAGATGGAGGAGATGGAGGAGGAGGAAAAGGAGGAGGAAGAGGAGGAGGAGGAGCGGGGGAGGAGGAGGAGGGAGGAGGAGGAGGAGGAGGAGGAGGAGGAGGATGAGGAGGAAGAGGAGGAGGAGGGGAGGAGGAGAGGAGGAGGAGGAGGAGGAGGAGGAGGAGGAGGAGGAGGAGGAGGAGGAGGAGGAGGAGGAGGAGGAAAGGGAGGGGGAGAAGGAGGAGGAGGAGGAGCAGCAGGAGGAGCAGGAGGGGGAGGAGGAGGAGGAAGAGGAAAAAAAGAAGAAAGAAATCCGCCGATCCGGCGTGTGAGTTTCAAAGACCCTCAGAACAGCCTGCGCCTCAATTCCTGCGCTTCAGCTCTACTGGGGGGTGGGTGCCGGGGTGGCTCTGCCAGTTGGGGGGGGGGGCGATTTAATTCCCGGAGCGGAATGGAAGCTCCAGCTCACTCCAGGACGGCCCCCTCGCCCAGGAGGGCCCCAACATGGGCCAAGAGGGCCCCGAGATGCCGAACGATCGCTACAAGACGCCCAACATGTCCCCAAGACGGCTCCAGGAGCCTTCAACATGCCCTCAAAAACCCTGAAAAAGGCCTCTCAAAGAAGGCCCAAAGAAGCAACAAATGTCCCATTCCCGAAGGAAAACGTACAATTTTAGCAGATTCGCCTCTTGGCTCTTCAGAGCGTCGCACACGCCCTAAGAGAGCCCCATAACGGCCCAAGAAGCCGCCAAAAGGGCTCCAAGACGGCCCAAGAAGGGCCCAAGATTGCCCAGGAGGCTCCCGGAAAGGCCCAAGAGGCGCCTGAGAGGGCGCCAAAACGGCGGAAGAAATGCCGAATACGGCTCAAAAAGCCCCCAGCAGGCCCCCAGAGGCCCCCAAGAGGCCTGAAGAGGCCCCAAGACGCTTCCAAGAGGCTCCGACAAGGCCCCCTGAAGCCCCCTGAAAGGCCCCAGAAGTTTCAAACAATGCATCCATGACGTCTTCTAGAGGCCTCCAAGCTGCCTCCAAGACTAACCGGCCCCAGTGCTTCCACGACGCTTACGTCTGAACACAAGCGCTGCAATACAACAAGTTCTTCGACGCTTTCACACCTTCTCCTGTCTTCGGTGTTTTTCACATCCATGACCTCACGAGGGCCCGCAGAGGACCGCGCGAGGGCCCCCCAGAGACCCCCAAAACACCATGGTTCCCAGCAGAGACCGGTGATGCACAAGGCTCCATACAGAAGTGTGACGCAGACAGCTCTAGCACAATTTTTTTCGGAGAGTGCACCAAATTGGCGAAGTGTCAACCCAAAGAGGGCCAACGCTTGCCCCCCCAAAAAACTGTCCAACAACCGCCGAACATTTCCAACAACCGCCGAAAATCTCCTCACCCTCGCCATGCTCCTCCTTCTCCCCCTCCCCCTCTTCCACTTCCCGCTCCCTCCTGCTCCTCCTCATTCTCAGCATCCTGCTACTCCCGCCCCTCCCCCCGCCCCCCCACCTTATCATGATCCTTCTCCTCCTCCTCCTCCTCCTCCTCCTCCTCCTCCTCCTCCTCATTCTACTCCAGCGATCTCACGGGCGCCCGCGCGGCCCCGCGCCGCCCACGAGGCAGGAAGGAAGCCTCAGGGCGCGTCGCGAGGCGGACACGGCCGCTGCGTTTTTGTTGTACTGGTCGACGACGCTGTCCACGACCCTGAGCTCGGAGGTGGAGCTCTGGCTGTTCTGGATGCGGAGGAAGTTGTACGTCTTGAAGGCCACCGCCATGCGCGCGATGGCGTGTCTGATGTCGTTCTCGCCGTCGTGGACTTCACCATTGAAGCCCATGCGCGTGAGGATGTGTGCGGAAACCACTCCACGCGGCTGGCATAGGTGTGACCACAGTCGCGGGCATGTGAGGTAGTGTGCGATGTCGTCGATGTTGAGCTTGCTCTCGCTGCACGGGCAGCCAAGCAGGCATTGGAGCTTGTGCGGGTTGACGTGCATGCGGTAGCTGGTTGTCCAGGCCCCTGCCAGCGTCTTGAGCGTGGGCCATGACTTTGACGGAGGTTCTCGAGCGAGGTGGCGGCGAAGTGTAGCCCATTGGGCGGCGAGCGAAGTAGGCGGGGAGTCCATCTCGATCAAGTCGGACGGTTGCTGGCCCTCTCCGCCCCGCGCAATATCTTCAGGCAGCCAGCCGTCTTCATCACGAACGGGTCCATCAGCAGCCAACCATCGAGGGCGGGCACGATGCTCCGCGGCTTCTTCTTCTCGCTCGCGTTGTACAGCTGCAGAGGGTTGAGCGGCAGCGTAGATTGCGACACGGCGGCTCCGCGCACAGGCGGACTTGTGCCAGTTCGCTTCGCAGATGTCGATGGCGGTGCGATGCCTCTTTTGTGTGTCGCCAGCAAGGTCGTCGAGGGCAGAGATCACCTCGAACTGGGGGCGCCGCAGGACTCCCGTGAGGTACGGCGCGCACCGCTCCATCCAGTCGGTGAAGTCGTTGAAACTCATGTCCATGAAGATGTTGGGCAACCATCGGGCAGCCCATGCCTCGGCGCGCTCGTTCATGTAGGCGAGGGAGGCTTCAGCGTTAGACTTGGTGCTCGCTGTAGAGGGGTCATGATCTATGGCAGCAAGCTGGTGAAAAGGGTCGAGCTTGAGAGCGCAGCCCGATCAGCGGGAACCAAGCCTTCAGTCGCTTCAGGATGGTCTTGTCGAAGGAATCGAATTAGAAGCTGTTTTGCAACTCGATGAGGTAAGCCTGCTGGGGTGACTTGGATTTGATCGAACGCTCGTTTCCATGGGACTTGCCACGTCCCGAGGTCATGTCATGACCTTTACCATCATTGTGTGTGGTTGGTGCTGATTGGTTGACGATCTCAAGCGCCAGACGACCAGCAGCGGCAGCGCGACGATGAGCGGCAGAGAGAGCAGCAGAAGCCCTTGTAGGAAAACCCAGCGCGCGCTTCGTCATCTTGTAGATCGAGCCCTTGCATGTCGGGAACCTTTGGTTGGAAACAATCATGTCGAAGCTCTGCGCTATCGAGAGTTTGTCCATCCAACATTCAGCGCACCATGCACCTTCGATGACTTGGCACGTGGGAAGTCGATCTTCCGCAACTTCACGGTGGTCACGAAGGAGGGCAGGCCCGGAGGTCAGAGTTTTAGTAGCCGCCCCCCACATAGTGACAGCCAGCAGCGTTTCCAGTCCTTGGGGCATTTCCGCACCCGCCCAGCGCTTGAACGAGAAGATGTCCATCTTGGTGAAGCTCGAGGGAGCAGCTCGTATGATCTTGTGCAAACCGTGAATTTCTTTGGCGAGACAGCATGGCGAAGGTGGGTAGAGCTGGCCGATGTATGAGAGGCAGGTGACGGCGGCGACATTGTACAACTTGATGCTTTGCTGCAGCGGGGACCTCGCCTCGGCGAGAATCTGGACGCGGTCCCACCACTTGCCTGCGGGGCCTTTCCACTGCGTAGATAGCGAAGCTCCATGGCCAATGTGGGCGCCCAGGTACCGCGCGTAGCTCGAGATCTTGAAGTCCTTCCATGGGGCGTGGATGGCGGCGAGTGTAGTCCGTATCGTGCGTGTGATGGCAGGAGTAGATAGAGACCAGGTAGGGGCGATGATGAATTTCTTGGCTTGGGGGTGGAGGCCAGCGAAGACTTCAGCGGCTTGTAGATGAGGGAATAGCTTGTCGATGTCATGTAGCGCGGCCAGGGTGATGCCAAGGTCGTCAGCACAGGCGCTGATGAGGCCGCGGCCATTGTGTTCGAGCTCGTGTTTGATACCGCGAATGAATTGGTCGAAGACAAGGGCCCAGAGCGCGCCGCTCAGCGGGCAACCTTGGGCGACGCCCGAGGCAGCGAACAAAAGCGGGCGTCGAATGCCGCCCACCTTGAGGAAGGCAAGGGGCATCTCGTAGCAGGCTTTCAGCAGCGCGAGGACCTGGCCATGGAAGCCCCACCTGCCTAGAACCTCCCAGAGCCAGTCGTGTAGCAGGCTGGGGATGGCCGCCGCGATGTCCAAGCTGGCGAAGCACGGCATGAGCTGCTCGGCGCCCTCTGTGATGCTGAGTTTGCGGGCGACGGGGTCTACCAGCACAATGTTGTTGAGAAGCTGCCTGCCGTTGACGAAGCCCTGCTGCTCCTTGGTCGTATTGGCGGCGACGCGGTGCAACTTGCGGTTGATGGCTGACGCGGTAAGCTTCGCGTCGCTGTTCTTCATGGCCAGCGGGCGAAGGCAGTCGGGGCTCCTGGTGCACGCGGAGTTGCCGGGCGGCTCGTCGCCCTTGGGGAGCGCGGCCATCATCGCGTGGTTCAGGTCGTGTGGAGCAGCGCCTCCGTTGGCACTGTGATGCATGAGCTTGCGTAATGCTCCTATGCTTTCAGGCGAGTTGGCCCAGGCGCGGTAAGGAAGGCCGTCGGGGCCAGGGGCCGAGTCACCTGAGAGCCGGACAGCATCTTGAAGGTCTTGAACTTCGGGGAGTGGTAGATAAAGATGCGGTTGTTGAGGAAAAACCCCGTCCGGGCACTTCTGCCTGTCGGAGATGTTGGCCATCTTCGCGGCAAAGATGAGACTCCAGTGCTGTTGGATGGCGCTGTGCATGGCCATCGGGTCGGTGATGGTATGGTATCTGGAGCCCTCCGAGATGCGGATGCCCGCCAGGATGGGTCTCTTGTCGAACGGCTTCCAGAGTTCGCCCCGTTGTGCAGCACGGCGAGCTTTCTGCCTCCATGTCGCCCAGTAGAGCATTGTGTTCCAGATAGGTAGCGCGGGATCTGGCGGCGGCAATATGCTTGCGGTGATCAGCTATGGCAAGGTGAGTCGCGTCGACCTCGTTCGCGAAGGACTCGGGGCCGATGATGGAGATCAGGTCGGAGGTGATCTGCAGGTGCTTAGAGCCAGCTGTGGT